TTGGTAAGTAAGAGGCTACCACATTTTTTCTCCTTTTCTAGCAATACTGATTCTATTTTTAAAAGAAAACACATGTGTGCCTTGAATGGGATATACAGGCTGGTGCATTGGGTTTAAAATTGGAAATGAGTCGTTATGAAATTGGGTTAATTTGAGTTAATTTGGGAATTTCGTCAATTAAGGGTAACAAAAAATGAAATTAGTGACGACAAGGGTAAGAATGACTTCGTTTAACTATATAGATAATATGTACAAGTGATTCTAGAGATAATATATATGTTTAGTTAAAGGTAGTAGAACTTTTCTTGATAATTTAAAATTTTTACAAATGACTGATATTTCATTAATTTGAAATTAAAGAACATTATACATTTATACAACTTCCTATACTTCACACAGTTACCATTGTACCAGTAGGGAAAAAAGAAGACCCGTATGCTCGAACCAGCTGAGAAGTTCAGTTTCGACTTCGAAAACATAAAATTATATTACTACATTTATCAATCGACTACTCCACGATAGCAAAAATATTTAGGGCGGAGAGAGTTAAGCTTTAGAAAACTTGAAACATAAGAACAACAAGTTCGTTCACCTTGTAAAAAGAGTGCAGTCACAGTTTTACCAAAATCATAGAGTAATCTAATGTACAACAATAATCGAAAAAGTAAGAAAGCATCAGCAGACGTATCCAAAACTCAAATTTTGATATGACTAATTGCAGATCCTATTGAAGGCACAATGATTGAAACTATTGAAAAGTACAAGAAAAAATTAATATCAGCAACAAACCCAAATGAAAAAAAAAATAGGAAAATTTAACACACCCATATCAAATTTGGTCAACTAAATATAAAATTGGGGAATATTTTTTAATGCAATTTCAATTTGAGTAAAACAGAAAGATAAAAAAAATCAAAGAAACATAGAAGCGAAAAGCCTTATTTCAACATGTGTGCTTCTTTTTAATTTTCAAAAAGTTAAAGGGTAAATTTGTCATTGTAAACAGTATCACACAGGTGGCATAAGCTGGATATCCTAAAATTATACGTGTGGTTTGTAAAAGAACTCCAGTTGTCAACGTTAGCATCCTCTGTATATGTTAACCTTCTCACATCTAATCATCATCTCCATCTTTAGTCCTTCACAATTTCTCTTTCTCTTTAAATTTCTAATTACCCATCTGTAATGGATTTTCAGCAACTACAAATTTTTTCCTTTCATAAGATATAATACAAGTGAAAGCTTGTAAGTGATACATATGGTCATGCTTTCTTAATAGAAAAGTAGTAGTAAATAATATAAAACTAAACTCATCCTCATTATTGCATGTAATTTCTTTTTTGGGAGTTGATTTCTCCATTTTCTGATATTTTTTCTTAATTTTATCTCCGATTTCTGTTTGACAGATAGTTGCAATGGAGCTTGAAATTTACCTATCAAACTGTTGAATTTTGAATTATTATGGGTAGATGGTCTCGAGTTTGAAACAATGCAGAGGACGAGAAATATGAGCTGGTGTGATATTTGCAGAATCCAAATCTTCCTTGTATTTGTATTCTGCACATCAATTCATAAAATTTATATAGATAACATGTTTAGGTTAGAGGAATCATAATTAGGAGTTTTGTGCTGGAAGCGGTAACTGATTGTTTTGTAAAATAATTGGGTTGTGCATAATATATGTTAATGACTATAGTAGAAGTTTGTTTGAATAAAGCTGCTAAGAGCTCATTCTAGCAAGAGCACAAACTTAGTTCGCTTTGATTTAACTTTGTTTGCTATGTTATGATATTGTGATGAGACAACTAGAATCTAACAAAGTTTTATTGGAGATTTTCTAGAATTTAGTAATTACCTATGGAGTAATTATGAATAATAAGATATATACCAACACCACTAATTCATGTTCTATTTATGGAAAAAAAATGTAGCGACTGACATTTTTGTGCTCTCTTGTTAATGTTATCTCTATTTGAAATGAAATTGCAAAGATTATCCTCTTCATTCAAATGTAAACTTAAGAGGCTCTTGACACAATCTAATTACTAATGTACCGTGGTTTCACCGTGCTTTCAATGTTTTTCCTTAAGATTGGTGTATGTCTAGAGTCTTTTTGTAGAATTTTTAATATGTTTTTATTTTTGTTTTGTAGGAAAGGTGTCCAAAGTCAAAACGCAAAAGGCAACTGAGATTTAGTGCGGAGGTGACCCACAAAGGCCATCGACGGCCCGTCATTTCATCGACGGACTGTAGATGGTGATTGTTTATTGGAAGTTCAGGCATTTGAAAAAACTCAGGGAAATCTGACCAAGCGTGGGGCTACAAAAAGATCGACGGTCGTTGATTGATCAACGGTCCGTCCTATTAAACCGTTGATTTGATCAGAGAATGTCCTAGACTTAATAACTAGGATAAGCAAGGGATATATTTAAATATATATGTCATGTGTGAATCCTTTGTCATGTTGAGCTTCACTGATCCTTTTTGGCTTGTGTATATTTTGATAGTATGAATTGTTTTCCTCTATAACACTAACCAAAAGAGTTTTATTTATTATTTATCATATAGTTTTTCCATGTCATCATGATGTTTCATCAGAATTTGCTCTATTGAGTGTAAATTTCATCACTTGTAATAGTAAAGGGTGCCTTCTCTTGTTTTGTCTGCATACTGTTTGGATGGTTGGTATATATTGTTCAGCATACTGGTTGATTTACTATAAACCACACTATCAAACCATATGTATAAAGCTGCAACACAGAGGTTATTATTTTGTTGTGTTCATTGATAGTAGGACTTGAAAATAATTTTCCTTCAAGATTTTGTACATATGCTGCACTATGCTAGGTGATCTATAATCTGTATTATTGTGTACAAATGACTTGTGTTACTTGTGTACAAAGACCCTTCTACATTTACTAAATATTTGAGATTTCATCATTTGAATTAGGCTACTTTGTGCTCTTTTATTTTTGAGGTTTCTCTAATTATATATGTTTAACTAAGTATTCAACTTTGAACTTCTATATATCTCTCTTTTTTCACATGTACTTTTTGTCAGGTGATAAGCGATAAAAATGTATCACTACATAAATGATACACATTCAATGTAAATAAAGTAGCCAGGAACTTATTTTATGCATTTAGCTCTGAAAATTATTTTATGCATTTAGCTCAAAAAATTTGTTTAATGTTGGATACGGACCATCTCTACCTAGTATTATATATAATAAGATACTATTTTTCTTGCTTCCCAAATGAAAAATTATAAATAAATAGACTTTATAATAAATTCTTGGGTCCTAAAGTAGATCCCTTTATAATCAATGTCCAGTAGATTTCAATATCGTGCTTATTTCTTGCCATTTGAGTAGATTAAAATTTGATGATTCAAATTTATAATAAAAAGGTAAATAATTTTAATCAAATCAAAGCAAATAAATTTAACCATCAATTTTTAGCTAGATACAGCAACTCATGTATTAATCAACAGTGTAATGGATATATATATATATATATATATATCATTTTTCCAATTGGTAAAAAACTTAAGTGATTGTGTAAAATATTCATTAATAGTAAGGATTTTTATCCATTATACCCTTATAGTAAGTAAAATAGGCCAAGAATGTCCTCAAGTAAAATGAAAGCAAATGAAAAATACTATTTATATATATACGGAAAGCATCCTAGCGAATAGTGTGGATGGTGTCGTAAATTTAGCTATTCGAGAAAGTTGTTCGTATACAAAAACAATTTTTAAATTCTGAATCGTGATCAGTTACTTGCTATAATATCAAAGGTGTATGTAACATGAATTTTCTCTCTCTAAACACGCCACACGTAACAACATCATCAAACTCTCAAGATATATTGAATAGTTTGTGCAGATCTTTTCAATAACATTGTCAAGATGCTTTTTCAAGGAACAGTTCTTTCTTAAGAACTCCTGAAGTATTAAGTTTGGGATTGATTAATATACTTTTGTTTGTTTCATGATAAATTTCATGCTTAATCGTAGGATATCCCAATTTATTTCACATACATTAACAATACAATATAATATTTTTTTTCGTTTGGAAACGAATGGTTCTTTCCTTCCTATTTTTGATAAGTGGCAACTCTCTTATTTCAAATTCAACATTTCATATGACAAGTAAGAATTAAAACTACAATATCAAAAGAATATCTAGATACATTTACTCAAAAGTCTCTTTTGTCACTTTATTAAATTTTATGTCAAGTTAAAATAAGACCAAAGCGGCCAAAGTAAATACTTCACCTTAAAATGACAAAGCAACAGTATTGTAGATATCGAATATTGTATTAAAATTATAAGAGTTATATGACAATTTCATTATGATATTGGTATATTTCTATTAAAATATAGCAATGTCAGAAAATATTGATATTTCTTAATGTTTCAAGCTTGTGTGCTAATATTACTCTTTGTATCAGATAATTCTAATATTGATTCTACTTTTTCTCTAAATAACAATTTCTTATTTAAAAAAGAACAGAATTCGTTTTAAAAGGTTGGTCAAACAAGTTGTTAATCAAAAAAATATATATTTTGGCTCTTCAAATGATAAGCTTAAGACACAACAAATTCAGAATTTAAAATTACGTTATATTAATTTTATTTTGTGTATTCTTATCAATAAGTTATTGAACTCTTAAAATTACAAAAACTTCAAACATCGACCGATATTACCTTATCCTCTATTTCAAGTGTTATCATAAAACTTCGATTATCATCATAAAAGTCATATCTAATTTATGTTGACTTCATATATTCTTGTAATTTCATTTCTCTTTTTCTTCTCCTTTCTCCTTCTACCGTATCAAAGTAAATTGTTAATAATTTGTGTCTTCTATACAAGAAAATACCTCACAAAATAATGATGTTACTATTAGATCTTACTGATACCGATTCATTTGCTTGGAAAGGAGATATATTCATATCCCAATGTTTTATTTTTCTTTTTCCTTCTATGAAAGTGTTTTTTATGTTTTTCTGGTCAAATGTGTTGTAGTTATGATGGTTTATCGTAAAAGTTTAAAGGTTTACTATATTATATATATGTCGAAGGATTTTTGGCAAATATTTAATATATATCAAGTGTATAGCATAGTATATATAATATTATACACATGACATACAAGTACATACATCAATTTTATATATCATTTATATACTAGATAAATCTGTCTAATTTAAGAAATCTAGAGATATTATATGTTTTCTTGATAGAGAAATTCTTTCTAATAAAGTCAAGTCATACAGGACATCTTCATCTTAACCGATGAGCATATATATAAAAAATGAAACTTATATAAATATACTATAAATAAAAAATATTTATCATTTGTAGTAATAATAGTTTTTTTCACTTGATCACTTTTAATATATTTATAATACAATTTTAATATATATTACTAAGAACAATTTATTATTCACGTATTGATGGAAATACATTTATAATACTATGTGTCAACTACTTACCAAACAAGCATAACGTATTTTTAAAAGCACTTATAATAAATGTATATTGCATACTTAGTTCACTTTTAATACATATTGCAGATTGAACATAGTATTGCTATAAGTGGTAATAAGTAAAAAATATCGCTAAAATCAACAATTATTTATTAAAAGACACTCAGTCAAGTAATTTTTTCAAAAAAAGAAAAACAGAAAGTGCATCCTCGGAATATTGTGTAAACGCAAGATATTTTATGCATCAACCATTTAAGAATTTATCGATTACTACATTCTTTCTCATCTCTGAACGTTTAAATATCTATCAATTTACTTAGCAAGTATATACAGCTCAAACCATATATAGCTTTGTCGTAATTCCAACCATCAATGTAATAGTTAGCTACGTAGTGTAATTTCTGAATATAAAAAATAATTTGATTCCACCATAATTCATAATTTTATTGACGACATCTTTTTAAAGTTACGAGTGTTTATCTTAAAAGATCTGAAATAAAAGTCTTTTTTATTAGTTGTCAAACAAATTGTTAATCAAAGAATAAATATTTTGAGACTTCAAATTATAAAGATTAAGATGACAACGGATCCAAAATTTAAAGCTTCATTAATTTATTTTATCTGTTGTTATCCCCCGAGTCATCATGTATACTCTTAAAATTACATATTTGATTTGGACTTTAAAGATACTTTTAGTTAATAACAATAATTGTTAATTCGTTTTTTTTTTGGATTTTGAACCCTAATTCTTTTAATACAAAAAAAAAATCTTTGAATTCAAGTGAAGTCACGCACTCTAATTTATGTCATGCACCCATTTTGCATTAGATTGTACGAATTAATATATTTTATGCCAATCATTAGATTTAAAGTAGCGATTCATTAAAAAAAAAATACAATAATTAAAATACTTTCATGTCGATGAGGGGAATCCAAAAGGAGAAGAGGCAAATGAGAGATTTTCATATCATATGAGGAAATACAATTTCTATGTATCAGTTTCAAAGATAATTTCAATTAGTAATCCAATATAATTATACTTTTCATAAAAATAGAAATTTAAGAAAATATAGATATTTCTAAATTTAAGGCTCATATCTTATATCTTCTTATCAGCTATCTCTTATTCTTATTTACAAGCACTCTAACCGTAAACAAATCCCCAATTTATAATTATCGTCATAAAACTTCAATGGTTGTCATAATAGCCACATTTATCTTAAGTTGATTTCATACATCTTTTTTATTTTTTTTTTATAGTAACATCCTTTTTTCCCCTTTTCTCTCTCTATTGTATCAAAGCAAATAGTTGTAATTTTTTTCCTTCAAAAGAACTTGAAAGTACCTCATAAATAATAGTGTTGTGACTATCAAATTTTACTGGTTCATTTGCTATAAAAAGAGATATATTCAAATTTTAACGAACTTTATTTTTCTTTCTTTTCTTCGACGAAAATGATTTGTATATTTCTATAACCAAGTGTGTTATAGCTATAATGGTTTACAATAATGATTATAATGATTGAAGATGAAAATAATTATTTGTATGGTGAATTTCACTATATGAACATCATAGTATATTTGAAAAAGAAATAGTATACGTCAAGTGTATAGAATTATATATACAATACTATACAAATGACATTCAAGTACATTCATTGATATACAAGTGTATGTGTATATATATACTAAATACTTGTGTAATTAAAAAAAAACTCATGATATTATACATTTTCTTGGTAGAGAATTTTTCTATTAATAAAATCAAGATCTTAAACGACAAGCATACATTAAAAATCCTAAAGTACTTCTTCAGAATCTTGTATAAATATAAAATAATATACAAGTATATATATCGTATATGTACTAAATAAAACTTATGTAATTAAAAAAAACTCGTGATATTATATATTTTTTTGATAGAGAATTTTTCTATTAATAAAATCAAGATCTTAAACGACAAATATATATATATAAAAAAAACCTAAAATACTTCTCGAGAATCCTACATAAATATAAAATACTTTATGTATCAATCCTAAAAGGTATTTCTAAAATTACTATATTTTTTGTTTCTTGTCTATTACATCTAAATATTTATTAATTTATTACGTCTCAATATCTATCGATTTATACTGTAAGTATATATAACTTGAATCTTCTAAAGTGATGTAGACATTTCTAGTAGTATATGTGTCCCACCCAAAGAGGACTCTATGCCTATATGAGACAAAAGGCCACAGCACATAATACCAACAACACTTGCTGTCACTATGAAGCCCAAATACTAAAGAAAAATTTGCTTCTTTTTTTTTTTCATCAAAACCTACCAACCCTAACCCCTAAATTCTCTCTATCTACTCCTATACATGCCTTGCTGCCAAAGTTCTCTAATCCCAAATGATGTTCAGACATGAAACTCTAGGACCCATTTCAGCTGTATGTTTCTATGTACATTCAATGTATCTCATAACAGGTTTCTAGATCTGTATAGCTGCTGATCATGGATCAGTCCTTTTTCTCAAATCTTGAATTGATGGTGTAGATTGAGTTTTGTAGATCTGTAGATGTAGAATTGCTGCTTGGGCGTGTTTAATTTCATCATTTGGAAGGACATTTTGGTGGGTTTCTCTTATCTTGTTTGTTGTTCGGTTTATGACTGCTAGGGTTTCTCTATTTTATTCAAGATTGTAGCTTTTTTTAATCAAAGATTTGATTTTTATCGTCAAAGATTGGATCTTTAGCTTTGCAGATGGCTGGTTATCAACAGAAAACTGACTTTGTTTCTGGGGTTTATCAAGAAAGAGGATCTGGGTACTAGGTGCTGGAGGATTTTGGGTTTGGTACAAAATTCCCATAAAAAAATTGGTTCTTGTAAAGGTGAATTAGGTTGCATTGGGTGTTGTATAGTTTATTATCTGTTGAGGTTTAGGTGGTAGCATGTCCTTTAAGAGTATGATTCAGGACATGAAGGATGAGTTTGGGAGCATTTCTCGGAAAGGATTTCGCTCCAGGTCACATAGGGTGGTTCAGGATTGTACCGTGACTATCGATGCGTTGAGGCAAAGTTGTTGGGCCAACATGCCGCCTGAGCTATTGAGAGATGTGCTGATGAGGATTGAGGAGTCGGACTCTGATTGGCGTCCAAGGAAAAATGTTGTGGCGTGCGCTGGTGTTTGCAGGAGTTGGAGGGAAATCATGAAAGAGATTGTTAAAACACCTGAAGTTAGCGGAAAATTGACGTTCCCAATCTCCTTGAAGCAGGTTCATCTTTTGTTTTTTATTAAACTATTAGTGTTGCAGTGTATGTATGCCTCTACATTCTTGTTGGGGATGAACCTTATAGTTGATGTTATATCTACTATTGCTGTTAGATAAGCATTTGTTGTTCTAATAAACGTCAACCCTCTAATTACCATTTATAGTGATAGTTTTAAAATAGTATGTATAGTGATAGTTTAAAAAAATACCAAACATAGTTGTACTTTGGGTTTTGCAGCAAATCTCTAGTACCCTTGCTCCTCCCTTCCATTCCCATGTTCTTCTTTGTTGATGTCCATTGATTTACCCGCGGGTCCTTTTTACTCTTTTTTTTCTCATTTCCTTTTTCTTCCCAAGTGATTATCAAAGTTGTAGCTAGAAATGTTAATGATTTCTATCTGGGATGTTTCTGGGCATGTGCATAGGAGGTACATTGACGCCCTAATGAGAAGGTGCAGGAGGCTGGTGGTAGGGGGCACGTAGAAGATTATAGGTAGGTTGAAAAAGTATAGGGTAGAGATGATTAGATAGGATATGGTGCATCTTCATATTACCGAGTACGTGACTCTATATAAGGAGGAGTAGAAGTCATGTGTAGGGTAGAAGGTTAGTCGTGGTTAAATGTTGTCTTTTCATGCGAAGGTTTAGACTTGCTATGGTCTGTTGTGGTACTTGTCGTACCCTGGTAGTTTTTGTCAATGTTGTTTATTTTGTTTCAATTATCACTCTTTTTTGGTTATTATTGTATTTGTCTTATTGACTTTACATTGTTTTCTTATTAACAATTATGTTTTCTTCATTGGTTTCTTCTTCTTTTACATGGATTTGATATATTTGAGTAGTCGGACATAGCCTCTCCACCTCCATGACGTAGTGGAAAGGTGTGTGTACTCTCTACTCTCCTCAGACCCCACTTAGTGGAATTTCATTGAGTATGTTGTTGTTGTAAAGCATTCTGAATTAATGCAAGTACACAAGTTACAACAACAACATACTTACTGAAATGCCACAAAAAGGGGTCTAGGAAGGGTAGAGGTTGTTTCCATAAGACTCTCGGCTCAAGTGTAACAAATTCAAGTACAAAGAAGAAGAAAACAATGTAAAAACATAACAACTAACAAGGAAAGCGGTGGAAAGCCTACAAGAACAAAATAATGTGATAATTGAAACACAGCTATAACCGATGACAATAGATATCAAAAGCAAAAACTACAATAATACGACTAGTACAACAACAAATACCAACAAGCCTAAACCCGCGAAAAGACAAGACAACACTCCACTTCTAATCTTTTACCCTAGTATATGTCTTCCGCATCATCCTATTTAACGTTATGTCCTCGGTAACCTGAAGTTGTATCATGCTCAGTCTAATCACCTCTCCCCAATACTTTTTTGGCCTACCTCTCCTCGTACCTCCTATAATCAACTTCTTGCACCTCCTTAGTGGGGCGTAGCTCGATCATACTTCCCTCAGACCTCATCAAAGAAAGTTACAAAGAGCAAAACTATACTCTTCTTTTTAGAAGGGGTGGGTACTCTAGTTGAAATGTCAAAGCAAATAGCTATTTCGAGCAACCATAACTTAGTTTCAACCATATAGCAAACCTCATAAATTCTCAGTAGTTGGTACACCTGCAGATCTTTATTCACAGCAAGAGATGGGAGATAACTTATTTTGAACCTTATAGCAAACCTCTGTAGTCTGTACGCTTGTAGTTCTATTAAATCCTTATTTACAGCAAGAGATGTGAGATCTTTGACCTTTATTACATTCTCATTAAGTTTAATATTCATGTTCCCATTAGATTACTCTGTAGCACATTCAAGGTATTATTATGGTATGCTTCACACATGATAAATGTTTGCGACATGTTTTATGACCATAAACAACTATAGACCTGCAACCTACTGCATTCTTATGCACTTGAGTGAAGATTCTGCTGAAGTAGTGTTGCAGACATTCTCTACTTAAGGCAGGGTTGTTGTTTATTTTGTGCGAGAGTAACTCCAACTGGAACTTTAGCGGCATTTGGAAAGGTCCCGTGTTCTACAACATTTAACTTTGGTAAATAATAACTATTGGACTGAATATGCATTCAATGCACTCGAAAGTGGGTAGGGTACTAGGGAGATGAACAAACAGACGGAACAATTATTGCAAGAGTCATGAAGAGAGATGATTATAGCTTATGAATACAATATGCTCAGTATATGCTTTATATATACCAAGGACTGAAAAATTCTGTCAACCTACAAAAAACCTTTTGGAATGATATTTTGCTAAGACTGCTAGCAACTCTCTGTTGGAATTACTACTGAACAGTTGTACTTTTTCAAGTTGTTATAGAGTTATCATCTAAGCTATATTTTACGTGTATTTGTTGCTCATACCACTTTGAGCTGATGGAACAAAACCAGTTGCTGCACACGATTAATTATGTTGTTACATATTGTTCTCTAATGTTTACATTCCTGTGTACCTATTTCCCTTTTCCCAGTTAAAGTACGCAAACTAGAACAATCTTTATCTGCTTGCAAATCACACTGAATGATCTCTTCTTCTCTTCCTGCAGCCTGGTCCAAGAGACAAACTTGTTCAATGTTTCATCAGAAGGAACCGCAGCTCACAGACATATCACCTTTTCCTTAATTTAAATGAAGGTGAATAAGCATTTCTTTCATTTTCATTTTTTCTTTCTAGGTGTATTAAGCACCCTTCTTGTACCTTCTCCTTTTCAGTGCATCATTTGGTACAATCAGATCATCGTAGGCTTCCTTTTCTATACCTGCATCTATATAGGATTTCTTTGCTTGTATGATTCATGCTAAATGATATTGCACTTACCTTCACTACTTGGCTTTTACAGTTGCTAACGATGACGGTAAGTTCCTTCTTGCTGCTCGGAAGTGTAAAAGGCCAACATACACAGATTACATCATTTCTTTAAATGCCGAAGTTGCTTCCAGGGGTAGCAGCACCTACATTGGGAAGCTGAGGTTTGTCGCCCTAGTACGTTATTTGTTACTTTATAGTCATCTTGCTGACTGCTTTCTCCTTGCTGAACTTTGTAACAGATCCAACTTCTTGGGGACCAAGTTCACTGTCTATGATGCACAACCATCTAATGCAGGAGCTAAAGTCAGTAAATGTCGCTCTACTAGGTTTGTTGGGATGAAACAAGTCTCTCCAAGAATACCCACTGGCAACTATCCTGTAGCTCACATCTCGTATGAGTTGAATGTCCTGGGGGCTAGGTAAGAGATAGTTCCTTTTGTGTGCTTTTATCTACAGGAATGTCCAATAAATGAAATACTTCCTGCATGCATGCCTAATTGGCTGGCATCGTTCATTCTTCAGTTGTCCATAAAATCCAATTCGCTCTTCTTAAAGGAACGTTAAAGTTAGTGTCAGCTCATACCAAAAAGTAAATGTCAAGATTAATTTAATAAGTTTTTGGTGTCACAAGAATATTACACTTTTTAGAGGTTGAAAACATAATGGCTACATTTCTTACTGATTGAGGAAAGGGTGGTTGTTCACCTGTCTTTTACTTGCCAATTGAAATAAATTGTTTTTTTTTCGGTGTCAGGGGGCCCAGGAGGATGCTGTGTATCATGGACGCAATTCCAGCTTCTTCTATTGAACCTGGGGGTTTAGCCCCTACGCAAACAGAATTTGTTCCAGTGAATGTAGATTCCTTCCCCTCCCTCCACTTTTTTAGATCAAAATCAACTCGCGTGGATAATTTCTCATCCGGGCCTTTACCAAGTCCAAAAGATGAAGTTCTAACTTTGAAGAACAAAGCTCCTAGGTGGCATGAACAACTCCAATGCTGGTGTCTTAACTTCAATGGCCGGGTGACAGTCGCTTCTGTAAAAAACTTTCAGCTAGTTGCTTCTCTTGGGGATGGAGCTGGACAGGAAAATGAGAATGTTATTCTCCAATTTGGGAAAGTGGGAGAGGATTTGTTCACCATGGACTATCAGTATCCTATCTCTGCATTTCAGGCATTTGCTATCTGCCTCAGTAGCTTTGACACCAAAATCGCCTGCGAATGATGAGATAAACAGGTGCTTCTGCTGTAACCTTCTCCTCGAAAAAAAACATCATTTGATGTATGTACAATCTCTCACATCATTTGATGTATGTACAATCTCTCATTTCTGTAATGATCGGTAGACTGAATCGTGCAGGTTCTGCAAGAAGTACTGAGGTGTTTGGATTGGGAGATTGCACTAACCCTATTTACGTTGGTTACTGAACTAACGCTCAGTTAAATTGCAGTAGGTATGTTTGTTGTTGAGGATTAATCACCCGTTCTTCATGCTCTCGGACCTTCCGTTTCTTGGTTTTTTGTAAATAGACAAGGATGTTTTTACAGTTTGGTTCATCCAACTTTTCTATTTCTATTAGCACAATGTTCATCCAACTTTTCTATTTCTATTAGCACAATGTTGAACTGTAATACATATATCTCCTGTGTGAGATGTACTTAAATTTCTGAAGTTTTATGTTCTTTCTCATATAGTTGAGAACTATATCTTCTCATCTAGTTTTTATAACCAAGGAATTTTTGAATGAGACACTAAACTCCACGTAGAGATAAAAGACCAATGTCAGCCCAACAGGCTAGATGTTTTGGCCATCTTCTCCTTTAGAGTGGGTTTAAGTAACGTCTAGTTTGAATCGATTGGTGATCTCCTTATATGAATTTAGTGGGTAGTTTTATGCCCTTACTATTAGAGCTAGTTGAGTTCAATTATTTATATGTCTATTGACAAGTGCAAGAAATTAAAATGGGTCTATTTCTGAACAGAACCAATTAATAGGATATCAAAGTGGGTCTCTGTGGAGCACTAAGAGACCAAACTGCAAATCCACCAGATACAACTCTGTGGTTCAACAATTTGCTGTCAGTATTGTATCACCATCTAACATTATATACATAGTCAATGTAAAAAAAGAAAAAAGATCGATCATATTATGACAATTAAGGATATGATGAAGTTAAAGATTTGGGTTCAATTAATAAGAGGTAATTTAGAATACTTTTTCATCGTGATGCGATTGTCTTGGTGAAGGTTGAATTACATGCAGCGTAGTATATTGATTAACGTAGGTGGAGATGATGATCGATTGAATGTTTTGAAGACACGCCCAAGAGTTTTTAAGGGGTCGTTATTAGAGAAAATGATGCTTGCATTAGTTTGATATATTAGTAGTACGTTTTTAACATATGCATAACTAATGCTTGTATTAGCAATGCATTCTATTCTGTGTTGAAGAATGTATTACTAATACTATTTATTTCTATGCATTAATAATGCAATGGGTTTTAATGCATGTATTAACATTATTAAAGACACGGTTGCCCTTAAAAAAAAAAATTTACATTCTTTCCACTATATTTGTGGCGTGTATTTTTGTAAACAAATATTTTTTCTAGAAGAATTATGTAATGAATAGTATTTTTAGTACATCAAATCAAGCTTCGCATAAAAAAATTTATTACAATTTATGTAAGCATAACTAATACAATTATTTTTAACGCAAACATCACTAATACACTATATTTTGCATTATTCTTATATACTCTATCAAAGGATCCTAAGGGCTTCTAGTTAAGCAATAGTAAATCGAAAGATCTAGAGTGTAAATTTAGTTATACAACGCGTGAGTCAAATATCGAAATGAAAATTAATGCACACGTCAATTTCAAGTATCTCTGATAAATGGTCTTTGAAATAAGAAAATTGATGACTATGTTGCACATAGTATTACTTCCTCAATTCACAAATATTTGAACAGGTATACTAAAAATAGATATTTCAGATAAATTGTCAATTTAAACAATCAAGAACAAGAAATAATTAGTTATTTTTTTCTAATACTATTCTTAATAATTATTTCATTTTGCTCAACTAAAAAATTGCCTGACAAACAATTGTGGACGGAGAAAGTAATGTAGGGTGGGTGAAATGGAGGTGAGCCTTCAAGTATGTTAGGAACATGTCGAATTCTATAAAGTAATGATTTAGATCAAAATTATTATATGAATCAAGTAATAATATTGTGTCATTAAAAACACCCATTCACATTTAAAAGATAAAAGACGAGTTAAAAAACCATTATACCATAGTAATATTAATTATTGTAGAATAATTAATTCTGGAACTTGTTCCCAACGAAACTAACCCCTTAAATCTTTAGTTTTACAAATAAATCTACTCAACTTTTCTTTTGTTTCTCTAGAAGTCATTATCACCGAAAAATTTGTGGTTTGGTGGGACATAGCTAAACACAATAAACATAACGCATAAAATTTCAACATAATTAATCTCAAAATTAATACATCATACTCAATAGTTGATATTATTCATGTAATAGCAATATAACACAACATCACAAATTTCACATTTCAACAACACAAAGTAATACAGCCATAAACAACGTATTCAATCTAATATCACAGCTGAAATTGACGAATGTATAGTGTGCGTAGATTTTATCATAAGATCGATACAGACTATTTCCGATAAATCTTCGAATAACAATTTACTCGATAAGAAACAATTTGGCCTCAGATTAGCATATTGGCACATTTATCATAGCAACAACAACTGCGCAAAAAAAAAGGATGTTGTTGACGCTCGTGCAAATACTTTTGTCATCACCGGCCATATTTCTCCAAAAATGAAAAAATTAAGCAATCAAATAACAATATTTAACGAATATAAAACTCGATTAGCGAAATGATTGAATTTATAATTCAATGAATGGTGGAGTGCAGCCAAAAAGCGGCGAAAGCTTCAATTTTCGAATTAGGGTTAGGGGTTTCAGTAATAAGAGGAAGAAGAAGAAGATATAGGTGCTCAAAATTGAAACCCTATTAGGCCCAAATGCTTGTTTGGCCCATTTTTTAAAGTGATTTTTACCTAGAAACATTTTTTTAAAAAAATTACATAATTACACAAATATTTCTATTATATGAAATAATTATAGGATGAATTAGCAAACTAGTCAAAAATCTTAACATAATTATTAAAAATAATCATATTTTATTAAAATTTTAGTAAAAATATCAAAATGTCAATGTTTTATAAAATATTGTGTATCCTAATTTAGACTCTATTTTATCTCACATTAACTATACCTTTTCCAACTCATTCTCTCTCGTGTTTTTTTAAAAAAAAAAATATTTTCTCTCTCATTAATTTCACTATTCAATTCTTCTTCATCTTTCAACTCTCGCTTCTCTTTTTTCGTTCTTTTTCTTCAGAAATTGGAAAATATTTATAAAGATATTCACAACAATCTCTTTGATTAAGGTATACATCTTCATCCAATTTTTAGGTTTGTTTACTTACTTTTTTTAAAAAAAGCTTTTCAAAAATTTTATTTGTAGTTGAGTATTAAATCGACCAACTTTTGTTTAGGATTTGAAAACAATCACTCTATAATGGTCGAATCTAAGAGGATTACAAGAGGTATGCAACTTAATCAACAATTCTCTAACGATTTTTCATCTTTTAATATATATATTACTCAAGAAATAACGTACAATGTAGGACCCACTGCTAAAATAACGGAAGAGAGACGATCAAAGAGTTAGTGTTTGCATCTTTTTGTATCACTATTACTAAAAGAAAAAAAAATGGGTGTAGAAGATTTCGAAAACTTGCTGAAGACCAAGTTGAGGAAGAACAATTTTCTATTAGTTTGTTTTGTATTTATAATTCTTTTTCAGAATTTCGTATTTCATCTCAATTTGTATTCAAATCGCTATGCCTTGCTATCAATATTTGTATTTATTAAAAATCTCATGTTGCATAATTTATAAATCTTGTATTAGTCCCTAATTTGTATTCATTCCAAGGTATGTCAGCTAGTTATGTATTTTATTTATAAGAAGAATAGTTTCTATTAGTTTATTTTGTTTTTATAGTTTTTTCTTTGAAAATTTGTATCCTTTCTCAATTCGTATTGAAACTACTATGTACGCTGTATTTGTATTCATTCAAAATCTCATATTGCATAGTTTATGAATCTTATTTGTTCCTAAATATATTCACCTCAAAGGTAAGTCAACTAGTTATATATTTTATTTAAGAATAATTGCAACAAATATTCTCGTATTCTTTTTTAATTTTATATTTCATTCTCACTTATCATATTGTTTTTATATTTTATACATCATTATACAAAATACAATATAATAACTAGATAGAATACAATTACAAATAATATACATATTGGAATGAATACGACTTAGGAAAGAAAACAAAATTTTGAAGAGAAAAATAAATACTGAAAAAATATATACGAATACAAATATATTTCTTGAATATATATATATATATATATATATTTATTTGACATACATGTTGGAATGAATACAAACTAATAAAAGGATACATGTCAATCATTATACAAAATCAACATGAAAATTAGAATGAATACAAATACAAATGGTATACATATTGGAATGAATACAAAATTTTGAAAAATAAAATAAATTAATTATGAGAAAACTATGTCAAATAAACGATAAAAACTATATGTGTACAAATTTCTAAATTAAAAAAAATTAATTGATGAAACTATAACGTATTCATAAAGTTTCATAACAACAATTAGTGAAAATTGAATATTGAATTTTTTGATTTCACGATTTTCAGAACAGTTATTAGTGAAAATTGGATATTGAAAATTTATTAGATGTGATACTTCTTCAATTTCATAATTTTCATAACAATAATTAGTGAAAATTGAATTTATATCGTGGTAAATAAAAGTGTTTAGAAAAAAAAAGATTAAGAAAATTGGATATTGAATTTTTTTAGAACAATGATGAAAGACGTGTTTTTTAAACATGGTGAAAGAAGAAGAAAGAGATAAAAGTTGTTGTATTTTGATAAATTATAACATATGATACTTTTAAGCATTTGTTCCTTTTTTAGAAAAATTCTCTCACCTAAATTACTCTAATCTGTTATATAAAAATTGTATTCTTTAAATAAAAACAAATAATAAAAACATAAATAATATATATAACAACTAAAATTTTGACATTTTTACTATACAGTGAAAGTTGCTAATGAGTCCTCTTAAATGTTAAAATATTGACATTTTGAAGGGCAGATGTACCAATCTTTCATATTTCAAATTAGATACATGTATCAAAAGTAGCATATAATACAGATACATAAGGAGATAGGCAAGCGAGAGAGTCATAAAGGGCAACTTTCACATATGACAAAAATAAAATTCAAATTTGTATGCTATAACAAAGTTTGCATAATTGTGCTCCATAGCAAACATATATGTAAAATTCGTTATACACATACAACTGAAATCTATGTCTATTTCGCTATACATATGTATGATTCATTGGCTCCTCTATAGAGTTGTATAATTTCGCTGAGAGACCATTTGTATAAATTGTTGTTAGCCTCTCATTGTATAAATCGTTCTTAGCCTCTCAACCCAATTGTATGTGTTTGTATATCTATATAAAATTTGAATTTGTCTACAATTGAATCGAATTGTATAAAACGAGAAAGAGAGAAATTATATACAATTTGAATTTGTATAAAACGAGAAAGAGTGAAAGACAAAAGAGACTTGGGCAGAGAATACTTGTGTTGTATAATTATAAGTGTATAGGACGGAGAGATTTGCAATTGTATGTGTATATACAATTTTCTCTCGCTTTATACAAATAGAAATACAATTTATACATTTCTATTGTATGAAGAGAGAGAGAGACGAGCGACAGGGAGCGAGCGAGAGAGGGAGAGTGGCGAGCCAGAATATGAGGGAGAGAGGCGACCTGCAAACAGTTTGCTATAAAACACAAATAAATCAATTGATAGATATTGTATTTATTTTTCATTATTAGTTTGTCATTCTATACAATTATCCCTTAGATAAATGTATTTAAAATAAGAGAGATATTTTCAAAAGATTTTTAAATACATATACATAAAGAGAGATGTGAGTGAGAAAGTTAGTATATTTCAGATACATGTGAGTCACATTTGATACGATGTATCTAAAATAAATTATATCTAATTTGACACGCATGTATGTAGTGAACTAAATTTGATACAGAAGAAAGTTTTGAAAATTAAAATAAAGGAAAAATGCACAAATACCCCCTTAACCTATGCACGAAATCCCAGATACACACTTATATAATACTAAGGTCCTATTACCCTCGAACTTATTTTATAAGTAATTTTCTATCCCTTTTTAGCTTACGTGACACTAACTTGAAAAAAAATCAACCAGCATCAGGCCCACAAGATAGTGTCAAGTAGGTCGAGAAGTGATAGAAAATTATTAATAAAATAAGTTCAAGAGGAGTAATAGAACCTTAGTATAATATAAGTGTGTCTCTGAGATTTCGGACATAGGTTGAGGATGTACTTTTGCATTATCCCTAAAATAAAGGCAGTAATTAGATCCAAACTAGTAAGATTAGTGTTGTTTGCTTAAATTTTTTAGAAAAATAAGAATAAAAAGTAAATATAGGGGCTCAATTATAGGGTTTGGTGAGAAAATCTGTTTTTTAAAAAGAAAATAACAATAGCTTCTTTTTCGAAATGTACAATCCAGTAGAAATAAGTATATAGTTGGCATATACAAAATATACAATTATATTATTGTATGTTTTTTGTATGTATTTGTCTTGTACTGGTACATTGAACAGACATCTAACATTAAAAATATACACAATTAATTAGTATTATTGTTCCTCTTTGATTTTCAATTTCAAATTCCAACAATAGTCAACTATAATCATCACCAAATTACTTCAATAAATTGACATATAAATTCAATAGATATTCTCAATCTTTGCAACAAAACCAATAAGTATTTGTTAAATCCACTTTTCTAGGGACATTAAAGATCAATTTCATTGAAGCTCGGAATGATTTCATATCTTATCTTATTTATTATTGATTAATTATTTGTTTGTTATTTTTTAAACAAGATATTTATAATTCCATTATCTGGTAAATACAAATATTCTTAAATCCCGCATACGAATTCAACTCATTTATCATTTTAAGAGCAAACAATATTCAACATAGTTATCATAGGACTACTCGTACATCATACCAAATTGTTGCAATTCTTTATATAATCATGGAATACACAAACCTATATTATAAGGTCAAATATATCATTTATTTATCTCGTTAAATAAAATATGCATATTTTTATCAAATATAAAAAATAATGGCAGTCTCACTTATATAACCAAGCAATTTTCTTGAAAGAAATTGGGTTAAAAAAAAAAGGTATGGGTCTCCAAGAGGATCAATATGGACCCAATGATATATTGAAATATGTGATGCTAAATATTTTGGCAAAAAGATCTTTTGAAAACTTTTTCTAAAAATGTAGATTAACTTGTTTTTTATAAACTTTCAAAACAATTTTTGTGGTTAAATAGTTTCTAATGCTAAGGATACACTTTTTGGAAATAGTCACAAAATTTCTCAATCATTGTTCTCCAAATAAATTATATTGACATAGGTTAAAATTAACCTAATAAAAAATTATCTTAAGCACTATCTAGGGGTGTATAATATCGAATCGAAAATTGAATCAAATCGTAAATCGAGTTAAATTGAAAAAAGAATTCGAGTAGTGATTTGGTTTGACTTGGTTTGGTGTTGGGGAAAAAAACCTGACTATATTTGGGTTGGGTTGGTTTCAACTAAAAAAAACAACCCGGGATCAAATCAACCCGACATTATATATATTATTTTAAAATTTTATTTTGTACGTTAAAGTACTTACTTTGATATTATTTTTAAATATCTCTTATACTTTTCATAGTTTTTATCTTTTAATATATTTACTTCATGTTTGGAAGATCGAATTCTTAATGATTTAATAAAGATTATAGTCCACACGTGTTGGTTAAAGTTTAAATAATAATCAAATCAATACAAATGCAACAAGAAAGTCAATTCAACACTAAGAATGACAATAATATTGGATA